CCATCTAAAAAAAAAATACTTAAAAGTTTTCACTGGGCTTTGGAATATAAAACATTTAATACATTTACTCTCAGGAGATTAAGCAATTGAAAGTTTGGGCTCAAATGATAACTAATTTGTAATGATATCTTTGGTTCAGGGCAATGGATGCTAACTGGGCAGGTCCTGGCTTGAGAGAGAATTAGATGGTCACTGTGCTACTGGGGCTAACAGTTTCTGTGCTGCACTCATGAGCTGGGGCCAGAGGCAAGTGGTAGAAGGACCTCCTCCAGGCTCTGAGGCCTATTGAAAGGTCCTGGGCAGCCTGTACAGAGCTTTTGCTCCTAGGAATTTCAATTTTCTGGTCCCTTCTCTGAAAAGAAAACCTCTTCTGTGAATGTTTATCTTTAGGAGGCAAATTCACAATGTTAAGACGTTTCCAAGCCTAATAGGAAGTTCTCCCCTCCCCTGTATTATTTACCTGGTTTCTCATTTCAATTTTGGCCTCCCTTGGATCCAGATGGTGAAAATGCATTTCAGGTATTGTAAGATTTGAGGGGCCTGATGAGTAGAGTTTACTGATGTTGTGCTGTTAAAAAGAAATAATAATAATCTCAATTATCTCCCTGTTCTGAGTTCAGAAATCAGTCTAGGCTGGGTGTGGATAATGGCTGTAATCCCAGCACTTTAGGAGGCTGCAATGGGAGGATCACTTGAGGCCAAGAGTTCAAGACCAGCTTGGGCAAAATAGAGAAACTCCCATCTCTAAAAAAAACTGAAAAAAAAAATTAGCCGGTCCTGGAGGCATGCACCTGTAGACCCCGCTACTTGAGAGGCTGAGGTGGGAGAATTTCTCTTGAGAAGCTGAGGTGGGAGGATTTTGCTTGAGCTGAGAAGTTCGAGGATGCAGTGAGCTACAATTGCGCCACTGCATTCCTGCCTGGATGTCAAAGAAAGGCCCCAATCTCTTTAAGTAAATGGGAAAGGCCCCATCTCTTTTAAGTAAATACATAAATACCTAGAAGTCAGCCTGGATAGGTAATTTTTTCAGAGTGCCTTGTAGTCTTACTAGATTTGTAAATTAATATAATTTTGGTCGGTGTAAAAACATTCACTGTTTTGATGGACGCCTATCCAAACTATTATATACTCTTTTCTTACACACTGTATACCAAGTGTAGCACTTTCTGAAGGACACTTCTGTGAAGTTCAGTTTCTGAAGGTGCAGAAGATGTGGGTTTAGACAGGACACAGCCTAGCAGTGGTCAGAAGTAAGGCTTCTGGAACCAAAGCGCCAAATTCTGGTTCTGCTATTGACTATCCTTGACTTTTGATTATGTTACTTTATTTCTCTGTGACTCAGTTTTTTTTCTAGAACTTTCCACACAGCAAATCCTTGTAATTTCTTAAATGATTAGAAAAATAGGAGTATCTTGAATTAAAATATGTAGCCTTTTGTTCTTGGTTCTTGAAGCAGCTCCAGAACACGTCCAGAGTGGTAAAGGTCAAAGGTGCTGTAGTGAATGCTTATAATTCCATGTTGCCTCCGCATCCATTTTGAATGCAGTCTAGCTTTCTTGTGCCCAAGGCAGGGCTCAGTCACCTGTGACGCAGTTTCCAGTTGTATATCATGTCCAAATGGCTCAAGCCGGTGGCCAGAGATAAGAACTTAGAGGCATCTCTCCTACCTAGCAGATTAGGGCTCCCCATTATCCCTCCTCTTCCTTTAAAGAGACCATTTAGACATTTGTCTGTCAAAGTTAAAGCGACCCAGACTCTGCCTTTATATACATTGCTGGTTGCCACCACCTTTTTTTCTCTTCTCTCTTCCTGTCTGTGCTCCCTAAGGCTTTCTTCCATGTGGCCTTCAGGAGTGCCACCCTAGAAACCCTGATTTATAGCTGGTCAGTTAGAAGCACAGGTCACAACCTGGGATTTGTCTTTGGCATCTGCAGTGGGGGCAGTCTTGTGGAACCCTCAACTTGTGGGTTCTAATGTAATCTCCAGTTAGATAAGACTTGGAATTGAATTGAATAAGACGACATCAAGCTGGTGTCCACTGCAGACTGCTGTCAGAAGCGTCGTGTTGACTATGTGAGAATAGTACAATGCAGCTTGGTTTTTACACTTTACGTTTTTTTCTTTATATATATATATTTATTACATTTTAGGTTATGGGGGGGTACATGTGATACTTTCTCTGCCAATCTCCTTCAGCATGTTTGTGAACTACCTACAAGTTACCTATTAAGTGTAATATTCAGTTACTATCATTTCATATGATCTATGAAGACAATTTTACTCCCTTTGCAGCTGGTAAGCAAATTCCTTGAGGGAAGGGCTGCCTCTTTCAGGGACGCTATGCATGGACAAGCCCCATCAGGGATGAAGGTGGCCTCCAAGCTACAGGGCGCTGACTGCCTGGAAGAACTACCTGTGGTGCATGCTCAGGAAAGCTTACATGGTGTGGGTAACAACCTTGGCAACGGGCACTCTGAGAGATCAGGGTGAGGAGGAGGAAGAGCAGTGTAATAGTTGTGATAGCTCAAGGCTAAATGGAGGATGGTAAGTGCTCTCCCCAGGACCCTTCATATCACTACTCAATGTATACATTCATCTTTTGAAAACTGATGAAGATGGTGGTCTTCAGGTTACCAGCACCTAGACACAGAAGAGGCCACATGGGCACTAGAAGGATGTAGAAAGGGGCAATAAATGCTTTTTTCCTCTTTTTGAGACAGAGTCTCACTCTGTCACCCAGGCTGGAGTGCAGTGGTACAATCTCAGCTCACTGCAATCTCTTCCTCCCCAGTTCAAGCAATTCTCCTGCATCAGACTTCCAAGTAGCTGGAATTACAGACATACACCATCACACCCAGCAAAGTTTTCTATCTTTAGCAGAGAGAGGGTTTCACAATATTGGCCAGGCTGGTCTCGAACTCCTGGCCTTAAGTGATCTGCCTGCCTCAGCCTCTCAAAGTGATGTTCACAATGTGAACCACTGTGTACAGCTGAAACTTTCTTTTTGAGCAAAAACTTAATACTATGTGTGTGTGTGTGTGTGTGCGCGCGCGCGCGTGCGCACATATATATATGCCACATACAATTCCTCAATGAATTCCAAAATAAACATTATTATTCTATCATCTATACTAGGTTTTCTGATCATAATTTTCAACAAAATTAGAAATCAATAACAGAAAACAGTCATTACATATGGAGTATGAAAAAAATTAAAAACAACAACCACATTATCTATGAATCTCGCTTCTGGGTATATATTCAAAATAAATAAAATCAGTATGTTAAAGAGACATATGTGCCCTCATGTTTACTGCAGCACAATGGCCAAGATATGGGATAAACCTGTGTCCATCAATGGATGAATGGATAAAGGAAATGTGGTGTACATACATAACGGAGTATTATTCAGTCTTCGAAAATCCTGTCATTTGGAACGACATGAATGAATTTAGAGGATTTTATGTTAAGTGAAATAAACCAGACACAGAAAGACAAATATCACATTATTTCACTTATATATGGAGCCTAAAAAATGTCAAACTCATAGAAATAGAATAGAGCGGTGGTGACCAGAGGCTGGTGATATTGGGGATTGGGGAGATGATATGTTTTGGTTCTTCATCCCCACTCAAATCTCATGCTGAATGGTAATCCCCAGTGTTGGAAGAGGGGCCTGGTGGGAGGTGATTAAATCATAGGAGTGGACATCCCCGTTGCTGTTCTCATGACAGTGAATGACTTCTCCTGAGATCTGGTTGTTTAAAAGTATGTAGCATGTCACCTTTCTCTCTCTCTCCGGCTCCACCAAGTGAAGGTGTGCCTGCTTCCCCTTCGCTGTTCTGACATGACTGAAAATTTCCTGAGACTTTCCCAGCCATGCTTTCTCTACAGCCTGTGAAATGGTGAGTCAATTAAGTCTCCTTTCTCCAAATATTATGCCAGTCTCAGGTGGTTCTTTATAGCAATGTGAGAGTGAACTTATACAGGAGATATTGGCCAAAGGGCACAAAATTTTAATTATACAAGAGGAGTAAATTTAAGTGATCTATTGTACATTGTGGTGACTATAGTTAATAACAATCTACTGTATATTTAAAAATCTCTAAGATAGTAGACTTAAAGTGTTCTCACAAAGAGAAAAGTCACTGAGGTGATACATGTTAATTTTGCTTGATTTAGCTGTTCCACAATCTATACATATTTCAAAACATTGTTATATACCCTAAATATATACAATTTGTGGTTGTCAATTAAAAAATAAAGAATGAAGGAAATCTATAACAGAAGAATAGCTTAAAAATCCTATATGATGGAAATAAAATAATATTACTAAAGAAATCTTCAGCAGAATGAAGTGGTTCACGCCTGTAATCCCAGCACTTTGGGAGACTGAGGTGGGTGGATTGCTTGAAACCAGGAGTTTGAGACCAGCCTGGGTTACATGAAGAAACCTCTACTAAGTAGTAGAAATCGCTACTAAGGTTGCAGTGAGCAGAGATCATGCCACCAGACAACAGTGAGACTCCATCACAAGGTAAAAATAAAAAATAATAATATTTTTATGAACAGGAAAAAGTTTTATTTAAGAAAAAAATGGCCCGGTGTGGTGGTTCACTCCTGTAATCCCAGCACTTTGGGAGGCTGAGGCAGACAGATCCCCTAACATCAGGAGTTGGAGACCAGCCTGGTCAACATGGCAAAATCCCATCTTCACTGAAAATACAAAAATTAGCTGGGTGTGGTGGCACATGCCTGTAATTCCAGCTTCTCGGGAGGCTAAGGCAGGAAAATCGCTTGAATCTGGGAGGCAGAGGTTGCAGTAAGGTAAGACTGTGCCACTGTACTCCAGGTTGGGTGACAGAGTGAGATTCCGTCTCAAAAAAAAAAAGAAAATAAAAGCAAAGGATATTATTTTAAAGTCAAACAATTACGTAAATACAAAATATCCCTCAGCCTGAGGACATGAACGGTGCGCCCTTGTCTGTGTAGACACCTACCAGTCTTTTGGAACTGCTCCAGCTCCTCACTGCTCAGCTGCTTGATGGACGTCATCATCACTGCCTTAAAGGCTCTCTTCAGATGCTTCGCCAGGACCATGTGATCTGGTTCTGCCCTTAGCCGAATGCCGTCCTTATTTTTATCTGTAGACAGTGTAACTTTTTGAACATTCAATTCCTATACTTAGTGCACAAGAGAAAACAAAAATGAGAAATCAAAACCTATGTTCACAAAAACATATGTCCACAGTAACACTATTCCCATCAGCCAGAAGATAAGCACAGTTCAAGTGTCCATCAACCATGAATGGACAATACTGTAGACACATGCAATGAAATATTTAGCAATATGAAGGACTGAAGCACTCATACATGCTACAACATAAATTAATGTAAAACATTATGCTAGCTGAAATATGCCAGACATAAAAGTCACAAATTGTACAATTCCACTAATATGAAATGTCCAGAGAAGGCAAACCAGAGACAGCAAATAGGTTCATGGATGCCGGGAAGTGGTCAGGTATCGAGGGGAAAATGGTGTGTGAATGCTAATGAATACTGGGTTTCTTTCTGGGATGATGAAAATGTTCTAAAACTGTGGTGATGGTTGTACAATTCTATAAATACGCTTAAAAACCAGTGACTTGTATGGTAAGAAAAAAATGTCTCTTATGAAGATCTACCAAGACAGTTGAGCGTAACAGAAAAAGGACCCCAGAACGAGAAATACAAACTTCATCCCTCAGAGGTAACCTTTGTGCAATCCATTTCATAGTACCACGAGGGTAACTATCAACCAAGCAGATGAATCAGTTAAACAGAACCCTTCATGCTTCAGTCATGCTACTGAGGATTACTGATGCAGCAGGCATGGTGATGGCACAGTAGATGGGAAAATGAGATCTCACGAGAACATGAGTCTGAAGCAAATACTATGGAATGTTTAGTTTTGCCATGATATTTAGGCTACATAGTGACTGAAGTAATTTATTTAAGATGTTTTCAGTGGCGCACACCTGTAATCCCAGCACTTCAGAAGGCCGAGGTGGGAAAACTGCTTGAGCTCAATAGTTAGAGACTGCCCCGGATAACATGGTAAAACCCCATCTGTACAAACGCCTGTACTACTATGCCTAATCTCAGCTATTTAAGTGACTGAAGTGAAAGGTGTGCCCGAGCCTAGGAGATGGAGTTTGTAGTGAGCAAAGATTACATCACTGCACTCCAGCCTGGGTGACAGAATGAGACCCTGTCTCAAAAAAAAAAAAACAAAAACAAGAACAAAAAAGACCTATTTTATGCATAACCACAGGCACTAATTTCAGAATTTACAATCTAACTTTTAGTTTCTAATATTTCTCTGGAATTCTCAAGCAACTGAAAACCAAATACAGAAATTAATATTTTCTATAGCAATGATTTTAAATATTACCTGTGAAAATAAACAATGAAATAAAAAAATATTCGTTTTCTACAATCATAAGGAAGATGAGGAAAAATGTTATTCTTTTTCTTTTTTTTTTTGAGACAGAGTTTCGCTGTTGCTACTCAGACTGCAGTGCAATGGCACGATCTTGGCTCACCGCAACCTCTGCCTCATGGGTTCAAGCGATTCTCCTGCCTCAGCCTCCCGAGTAGCTGGGACTACAGGCGCGCACCAGCATGCCCAGCTAATTTTTGTATTTTTAGTACAGATGGGGTTTCACCTTGTTGACCAGAATGGTCTCCATCTTTTGACCTCGTGATCCACCCGCCTCGGCCTCCCAAAGTGCTGGGATTATATGCGTGAGCCACTGTGCCCGACCCATGTTATTCGTTTTTTTAAAAATAATGGAATAAAGATGTTTAGGAAGACAACTGACACCATAATTTAAACTTTGACCCTAAAACTCCACTTCTGGTATCTACCCAATATCCATACAGTGATATATGCATATATGAATATACATAGCTTTTGTTTGTAATCGGAAACCTAAATTTCAAACAACAGGAGAGTAATTATATAAATCATGAAGCAGCCAGGAAGTGAGACTCCAGAAGAGACTGAGTGGAAAGAGGCTCACTACGCTAGTGCCTTGACTATTTATAACCAATGCGAGGGCACTCCTCACTTGTATAATTTGGAGGAACAAAGTTTCTTTTGTAGTTATCAAAAAGTACTTAAGAAGGCCAGGCGAAGTGGGGCTCATGCCTGTAATCCCAGCACTCTGGAAGGCAAAGGTAGGCAGATCACTTGAGGTCAGGAGTTTAAGAAAAGCCTGGCCAACATGGTAAAACCCCAACTCTACTAAAAATACAAAAGTTAAGGCCGGGCGCGGTGGCTCAAGCCTGTAATCCCAGCACTTTGGGAGGCCGAGGAGGGTGGATGACGAGGTGAAGAGATTGAGACCATCCTGGTCAACATGGTGAAACCCCGTCTCTACTAAAAATACAAAAAATTAGCTGGGCATAGTGGTGCGTGCCTGTAATCCCAGCTACTCAGGAGGCTGAGGCAGGAGAGTTGCCTAAACCCAGGAAGCGGAGGTTGTGGTGAGCCAAGATTGCGCCATTGCACTCCAGCGTGGGTAACAAGAGCGAAACTCTGTCTCAAAAAAAAAAAAAAAAATGTTAGCTGGGTGTGGTGGCATTGCCTGTAGTCCCAGATACTTGGGAGGCTGAGATAGGAGTATCACTTGAACCTAGTAGGTGGGGGTTGTGATAATGCACCACTGCACTCCAGCCTGGTTGACAGAGTGAGAGAGACTGACTCAAAAAAGCAAATAAGAGTACTTCGGGGAAGAGATGTGAATAAAGATGATAGGTTATATGTAAAAAAAACTCATTGATTCTAGAACATTTTTAAAAGAATTACATCAAATTTATGTTGATCCCAAGAACAGTGTAAAATATCACATACTGTTAAATTTGTTATGAATATACTAATAAAAATAAATTATACAGTCAATGTGTGCTTTATTGAAGATTATTCATCAAAATAATTTTCTCAAAGTAAGTCTATCCGTACCCAAAACAGACAAGTCATCCATCTTACCTCAATGACACACTTCTCCAAAGACGTGATATCTCTAAGAGCTTCTGGATCTTGATGGATAACCACAATTTCTTTCAAAGGATACTAGGAGAAAAAGAGAGGGGAAAGGTCACTCAGCAGCCCATCCTCTAAACTGCAGAAAAATGAATATTAAATGTTTATTTGAACCTCAAGCTCTAGACTAGTCAGGCTGGACTAGTACTGTCATTCACACCCTCACTGCAGAAAAGAAGAAAGGCCACTGCTGGAGGCTCTCTATATTAAGAAAACACGCCAGACTTAAATGTTTAGGTGGGTGCCACGTAAAATAGAAGTAAAATTTCAAACCTTTATGGGAATAGTGTTCCGGTCTCTGATCACTCATTCAACTTCAATCACAGACTGCATCCGAGATATTGCACTGTTTTCTTATCAACCAATTCTTCTCTGAATGGTAGAGGTAGGAATATGAAAGAGATTAGATTAAGAAGGAAAATTCAAGACATTAGGCATGCTTACATGAGGAAGAGGGTCAGGCTACAGAAGTGTGACCAGGCCATCCTGATGAGGCACTGTAAGAAGGGCAGTGCAGTGCCCGCCTGGGGGACAAACAGAAGGAGGCAGCAGCCTGAGCCTGCCTTAGCACCCGGCACCTCCCCAAGGGGCCCGCACAGTGCATGCCCACACCCCAGATGCTGCAGCTCTACAACGGGGTTCCATACCAAGCATCCCTGCTACCATGTACCGATGTGGGCCCCATCATGCAGCCTGAGGAGCGGTTCGTGTCAGCTGGGGGCTAGGGTGGGAGGCAGGGCACAGAGTGAGCTGGAACAGGGAAATGTCTCCTCTCCCCCACATGCTTAAGCAACTCTCCCTTCTTAGCACAGGTAAGACATTTCTATTTGATTCCTACCGAACACGGGGAAGCATGAGGTAGTGGATGCTGAGAGTGTCTTTGTCTTGAAAAGAAACAGGGGCAATCAGCACCTTTAGATTCTGGCACATAATTCAGTGAGAAAAGGCACGTAGGGAGCCTGTATGAAGACACAGGACATCACGTCAGTCATATGCAGTCATCAACAACTGACCTCATTTATACTGAGAAACAACTAAACATGTTAGCAACACAGTAACATGCACTGAAATGGGCATGAGGTTACGAAACACGCCCCATGAATGAGAAATGGCCTCACAGCCCTGAAGCATAGCTGTAGGACTATAGACAGAAAAACCCAAAGCATCTCTAGAATTCTGAAGGATGTCTAAAACGGAAACAGGAGCACCTAATGAAATATCAGCCAAGTCAATATGCACAGAGGACTAACTGCCCCAAACCTCAGAAACCTCATCTGTAAACTGGGGAAAACACGCTCTCCTTCACGAGATGAAGGAGATGAGATCAGGTCTGGAGAGGATCAGGCACAGGACCTTGTACAAAGCACATTTTCCTTCAGTTAAGGAGTAAATGGGAGCCTTATAACAGAGAGAGTAGCAGAAACAGGATAAAAAAAAAGTTGAAGGCTTTCCACTTTTATATTATTTAACTAATATTTGAACTGATAGGAACATATATCAAACAACTACTTGCATGTTTTCCTCTCAACGCTAAGTCAAAGTATTTTTTAATGAAATATTTGCTAGGACATGTATAAGCTAGAGAACATCCCCATTATTTGCAATTATGCCAATCCACATTAAGATGAGGTATGTCTTGCGTTGCACTGCAGATTCTCCTCCTCGAGCCAAAGGCCCTGACATACACTAGACTACCAGAGACTGGAAGAAAAAAATGCAGTATTTCTTAGTCCTTACTTAACATGTATAAGCTAATAAGATTTCTGGAAAAAAAAAAAAAAAAAAAAAAAAAAAAAAAAAACACTACAACTGTAAGCTGTTATAAAACGTCTACTTCTCTTTTTGGTGTAATAACAGAGAAAAGATATAAAAGAAGGAGGCCGCAGCAAGCAGGTACCGAAGGCAGCACGCAGGCCAAAGGGTACTAGAAAGAAGCCCCCCATCTTACCATAAGTCTACAAAGAGAAAGCAGAACACTAAACAAGGTTTCTAGGGCCATGACACAATCTTCCATCCCATTTTCACCCTAAAGAATAAAAAAGAAACATAAACTTTAAACTGCTAAAATAAGTGTTTCTCATTTAAAAAAAAAAAACAGTTGATTAAAAAGAGGCAACCCTCAAAGAGCATGCAGTACACAGACAGGGCACGAGGCAGAGTAGGAAGAAAGGGTCACGACCACAGGCTGACTAGGGTGGCCCCGCAAGGCAGTGCAGGAAACCTTGTCAGGATGTGCAGCTGCTGTCCCTCTAACCCCACCTGACGCAAGATGATAGGAAAGTAAAGTCTAACTGTAGGACCAAAAGGCTGAGGGCAGAATGGATCTACCCACAACATACAGAATAAGCTGCTAACTGAAAACTTTAAAGTGCCTTTAAATAAGATATTTTATGTTAAAAAGAAGTATGTACTGTGTATTAAAAAAAAAAAAAAAAAACTAATTCATTGTATGAAAAACGAAGATAATGAAAAAATTTCAACCATGAATACCTTATCCAGAGATAACTACTGTACACATCTTAGCATATGTCCTGCATATGTGTGTGTGAGATACACCTGCACAAAAACGAAATAACAGTTGTGTTGCAGGGTTTTATTATTAATGCATTTTAAGCCATGACTCACTGGGTGCGGCAGCTCACGCCTGTAATACCAGTGCTTTCAGAGGCTGAGGTAGGTGGATCACATAAAGTCAGGAGTCCAAGGCCAGCCTAGCCAACATAATGAAACCTGTCTCTACTAAAAATACAAAAATTAGCTGGGCGTGGTGGCACACACTTGTAATCTCAGCTCCTCATAAGACTGAGGCAGGAGAATCATTTGAACCTGGGAGGTAGAGGTTGTAGTACGTTGAGATCCTGCCATTGCACTCCAGCCTGGGTGACAAGAGTGAAACTCTGTCTCAAAAAACAAAAAAAAACAAAAAAAAAAAAAACCAAGACATGATGGGTGGTAGGAGCCTTTACTGGGCCTACAGTAAAGAGACTCCACTCTCCCTGTTATACATCATTGTTATTTATTTACCTTGCTGAAGCCCTGAGACCAGGACCTATGTGCTCTGTTCATCCTAAACCCACAACAATTACATAGTTCTGTTCACAGCCAAATAACCAACTCCCTTCTGGTAAAAGGAAGGTGGTATTCCTCTCAATATTAAAGCCATACCTGCCAATATTTTTATAAAATATTTGCATGGTTTTATTTAAAATGTTAACAAGTCTGCTCAGTTTGGTCCTGTTTCTGCCCCGACATTCTCCCTCCAATAGATGTATGTAATTGTGTTGTGAAAAAGAAATGCAAAATGACTTTTAGAATTTATAGATCCCTATGCCTCAAACGACAAATATACTTAAAATGCAATGTGAAATAAGAAGAAAAACACAGCTTCAAAAACAGAGCATCTGAAAATGTTCCTTTCCCTTTGGGCTATTCTCATACTTCTTCTATTCTCAAACTTCATGTGCTTTTTGCTTTTCTCAACGGCAGTCTGCACTTACCTTTTATCTTCTGCGGTTCATTCTAATGTACCAATTGGCGAGAATATGTACAAACTCCACAAGGCGAGGCACCACAGTGTAAAGCCTATGAGCTAAAAAATAAGACAAGTCAATCAGGCAGCAAGTGAGTACCAGGCACCTGGCGGGGAGAGGGCTGGATATAACAAAGAACAGGCCCACGTCTTCTATCCAAGGTCCTCCACTTACTAAGAACCAAAATGAAGCAATCATGTAACGACCATTTCTTGAGGATGTGCTACATGGCAGTCAAGGTATTTGGAAATGCACACAAAAAACTATCCTGTGAGCCACATGAGAATTCCAACTGGTCAGTGAAAAAAGCCAAAAACTCCAAGATGTGTGGAACAAAGTCCAAGGCTGCCCACTACATAAATGTAGAAAATACCGTTTACAGGGAGGTGTGCAATTTGACAGCATAAACATTGCCCTACTCCTTTCTATTGCAGTACATTCGACTGCAACTAAAAGACATACGAAAACTCAAAGCAGATGCTAAAAGCCATAGCATAGGCCAATAATTCTCAAACAAAGGCAACTTTGCTCTTCGAGGAACATGGGTCAACGTTTTAAGAAACAGTTTGCTTAACACAACTTGGTGGGTAGAACAGTGCTCCTGGAAACTAATGGGTAAACCCCGGAGATGGTGCTCAACATCTTATAATGCACAGCACAGCCCCACCACAGAGGATGATTTGGCCGAAACTGTCCATAGTGCAGCCGTTGAGAAACTGGCATAGGATATGAATAAAATATAACTTGCTTTCTAAGTATTAAAACGGTCAAGTAAAAACAGCGAAAGGGGTAGTGAAAGTCTTGAGGAATTAGGAGGATTTGAAGGGTTCCCTGAAAAACTCAGAGGTCAGACAGGAAAGAAAGGGTGTTTAGCCAGTCCTGTCTGAGGCTAGGCTTATTTTAAGGATTCGCATTCACCTCCCCTTTAAATTGATACTCTGTTGAATAAAAACAAACACCAAAAGACCAGCACTTAGAAACAAACACAATTTATGATCATGAAAAGAATCCAGGGAGTGTTCATGAGGCTTCTGGTCTAAGCTAAAGAGATGAGATTTGCAACGGGCATGCTCTCTGCTGCTGTTCACAAAGACCAGAATTCGGGTGCCAGTGGGCTGAGCCCCAGGCCAGAGTCTTTAGCTGGTCACACTTTTCTCGACAGGTGATTTCAGTGACTGAGGTCTGTCTAAATGATTCTAGGCTTCATGCCACCTTTTACCTTCCAGGAAGCTCAGGTTTTCTATATTCTGGTTTCAACTCTGAGGAAATAATGATCCGCACACACAATGAATGAACTAACATACGGGGGCGGCAGCAGCAGCAGCCACTACCCAGGCCACCACCACCCTGTGAGCCAGGTCCTCTCACACCCACAGTGCTACGAAGGGAGTGGAGGGCATGAAGCTGACAGACTGGCAGAGCTGGGACTTAAATATGACCCACACAACGTGGCTGCTGATCTCGTTTCCAGGCAGATGAGGCTCCAGTCAGGGGGCACACTCTCCAGACCCAGCTTCATCAGGTTATGGCAGCTACTCCAAGCAACAATCCCCACATTTCCCACCAACTCGTGTCACTCAGGAGGGAAAAGCAGAGACAGCAGGGAGCAGTCTGGGCAGAGTGTGCTGGACTCCCAGTGCTGCCCTCCTCAGGGCAAAAATCAGCCTCACACTCACTTCCATCTTCATCCATGTCCATCTGAGCAACAGCTGGACTGTCATGATCCTTCTATATTTTTAACGAGGTGGATAAATCCATTAGGGCGACTGATTAACAGTCTTTCTGTGCTACACGGGGCAGTACTGCCTTTCTCAGGGAGTGGCGTGTGCCAGTATATAGGCTACTGGTGAATCCCAGGTGTGTGGCAGCCACTGCTCTGCCCAGCAGCAGCAGGATCTGCAGGGTCCCGTGAGGATGGATTTGCCTTGCCCTCTTTTGTCCTCACTGTGACCCAGGGCCTCTGCCTGACCACTTTAACTGATTGTCTGAGGTGTCCCAGATGTCTCACCTGGACCTATGGTTGTAACTATCTGAAACCCTGAGGAACTCAATGTAGTTTTCAATCTCTATAAAATTACCTAACAAACTTACTGTTATTATTTAATAGAAATATAGCAATACGTCGATTTCATTATTCCTCTTTTGACTTTTCTAAGTTTTCTGGAAAAGATGAGGACTATTCAGTAATAGACCTAAAAATAGGTTATCAATGTCATAAGTACCTATTATCTGCCAGCTACTTTACGTAAATCATCTCTACTTAAGCCTTACAAACAGTACTGGGCATTTTGCAGATAAAGACACTGAAGGTCAAGATAGAATGAATGGGCTCACGCCTATAATCCCAGCACTTTAGGAGGCTGAGGCAGGTGGATCACGAGGTCAAGAGACCGAGACCATCCTGGTCAACGAGGTGAAACTCCGTCTCTACTAAAAATACAAAAATTAGCTGGGCATGGTGTTGTGTGCCTGTTAATCCCAGCTACTCGGGAGGGTGAGGCAGGAGAAGTGCTTGAACCCAGAAGGCGGAGGTTGCGGTGAGCCGAGATCCAGCCTGGGTAACAACAGCGAAACTCCGTCTCAAAAAAAAAAGGAAAAAAAAAAAAAGATAGAATGAATGAGTAGCATCTGATGGCACAATGGGGATGATTACAGTCAACAATTTCTCGTACATTTATAAACAACTAAAAGGGTATACTTGGGATGTTTAAAGCTACAATAAATGCTTGAGGTAATGGATACCACATTTACCCTGATTTGATTATTACACATTGTGTGCCTGTCTAAAAATATCTCATATACCCCATAAATATATATATGTACCCATAAAAATTTAAAAAAAAAGAAAGAAAGAAAAAGAAACTGATGGTCAGACTTTAGGCAACTCTCTGCATTTGGAACAAGTGGTACAGCTGGACGCTGAACCCACAGCTATTGAACTCCAAAGCTCTTCTGTGGAGGGTGGAGCTCGCCAAGATACCCGCTAAAGACAGAATTGCTCAGGGCTTTTTTCTTTTTTAAATAATGGAGTTTCAATCTTGACACCCAGGCAGTGGTGCAATCTCGAGTCACTGCAGCCTCCGCCTCCCAGGTTCAAGCGATTCTCCTGCCTCAGCCTCCTGAGTAGCTGGGACTACACATGCCCACCTACATGGGAAGCTAACTTTTTCTTTAATATATTTTTAGTAGAGACGGGATTTCACCAATGTTCGCCAGGCTACTCTGGGACTCCTAACCTCAGGTGATCTGCCTCAACCTCCCAAAATGCTGGGGATTACACAGGTGTGAGCCACAAGCCAGGTCTGAATTCCCCAGGGCCTTGAAACAAAGAGATCCCAACAATTAACAAGCCTCAACAAAACTACATTTGAGAGGTGAAAGGAAGTAATTATTTAATATTCTGTATCTTTCAATCTTTCCACTATGTTTATAGACAGATCATACCAAAAGGGCAGTTACAAAGAGAGTAGTTCTGGGAGGACAGACCAAGAGAGACTCACCTGCCATTTCAGTCTGAAAGAAGCCAATGAGAGACTGCATGAAGGACAAGATCCCACTGGTCTGTAATGTTAGGGCTTTTTCTAACCGTGTTCTCACTGTAGAGAAATTCTATTTCTTCTTCCTAGGAAGGAACAATCAGTTAAACACTTGCACATTGGGGTAAGCTACCATAGGGAAATAAACTCTTTAAATCACTTAAACAAAACCAAAAACAAAAATCCCAAAGCCCGCTGGCAATGTGAATTTCTGATTTTCAGCAATATTTTCAAGATAAGCACCAACGTAGGACATTAGGTCCTCAATTATGTTTTTGAGTGAACCGAAGAGAGTTTAGGAAAACATTACTTCTCTGCACCAAACTATAGTAATTAAGAATTGAGAGATATTCTAAAACCTTGTCAGAAAGTCCACCGTTTAGTTACTTTAAACCTCAGGAAGGAAGGACAGTAAAACTGTCTAGGACTGAATGATTGTCCGCAAACTGAAAATGAGTACTGAGAAGTAACCGCCATACTAAAGCTGTTCGTGTTACCCGGAATGTTCTATCCCACCCTTTGCAAAATCCTCCTTGATCTTAAGTCCCTGCTCCACACACAAAACTCATGCCCTGCTTTGTTTCTCTGGCAGCAGCACAAGCAGGTTCTAGCACAGATATATTAGCTCCAGCATAGATATATCTGACATGGCTCTGTAGGTACAAAACTAAAATAAATGATGAAAGAGAATTTGAATACCAACAAGACAGGGAACCTCCAAAGAAAGGCAGAGGCAATTCACATCTAGCCTGGGGAGGACTTGGGACAGCCCCACAACACCCAACAGAGGTCCTCTTCCCCAAACAGACCTCTAGATTTAAAAACGCCTTTATTATCTAGAAAACTATTTGGGGAGTTGAAGATCAACAAGCATACCAACATAACACATAATTATAACAGAGATGTATTGTTAAAAACCTAACTATAAACCAAATCTAAGAATTCTGACTAATAGTATAGGAGGCGCTTACATGAAAAACAATAAATACACACAAGGCAAAGCACCGCTTTGTACCTGAGCGCATCAGCACCACACTTCTGGATAATGGAAACTGGATCTGGATAATTCTTTGTCCATTGGCTCATTTTTTGGCCCTCACTTGTAAAACAAAAGGGAGATGCCAATTAAGTCAATATCACAGATGACCTTGAAAGAAGGATACAAAGCATTTGCCAATAGGAATACAAAAGAGGAAATGGGAAGGAGTAACTTAGAAGTTAGTGTTAACAAGCCAGTCACAGTGCTTTGTGCCTATAATCCCAGCACTTTGGGAGGCTGAGGCACGTAGATCACCTGAGGTCAGGAGTTCGAGACCAGCCTGGCCAACATGGTCAAACCCCGTCTTTTACTAAAAACACAAAAATTAGCTGTGTGTGGTGGTACACACCTGTAATCCCCACTACCGGGGACGTTGTTTTGCTAAGTTTACCATGATTTTGCTTGAATTCCTCTCCATCAATCTTCTCAGCTAAGATCGAGTTGAGCTTCACAGGGGAAGAGGGCTGCACCTAAGAAGTCAGCTCTTAGAGGACAAAAGGCCTGAAAGCACCCAGACAGGCAGGCACTGCGGGGAGGTCGCTCTCCTCCCAGTGGCCACTGTGGAGGCATTTCATAGAAATGCTCAAGGACCGTTCATATTTAGAATTCACATCAAACCGAGAACTCATGAGGGATATTGGACAGGAGTTAGAAAACTAGTTTCTCATACAACTGGAGCAAGGAGGGGAGAACCCTGGGCTTGAGACTTGCAATCCACCGCCTTCCCTGCAGTGTGGCCCCAGTTATGTTGTTTTGCAACTCTCCCTCCATATCCAATTGTCTTAGGAAGGGGCAAATGCTTCATAAGTGCCAACAGGCAGTGTTTCAGGAAATCATCAGTGTGTACCCGTCCATCTGAAAGCATCTTCCCTTCCCGAAGCCCCTCCCATCAGTGCAGAATTACTGCAGCCCAGCAGGGAGTGACGTGTGTGTGTGTGTCAGGAGATTTTGTTGCTGTGCTCTGAGTACTCACTCCTCATCTCCTCTGACCAGTTTCCTAACACTCCTCCTGTGCACAGCACAGAACGCGAGTGCTCTTTCCTGCCATTTGGATGCTGATACATGGTCAGTGACTCTCAGTGTGAAAACGAGAATGAAGCAAGTTTTTTTTTTAAAGACCGGCTACAAAAATTCCCGTGCTGAGAACCACATGTGATGACACTGAATTCCAAAGAGCAAGGATGTATGATGAAGATGAGGCCAGCAGTGAGCTGAGAGAGGCCAGCCAGGATTCTCACATGCGCGGGGGTGCATGGGCATGGGGATGGGACATGGGTGGAGTGCATCCCGGCTTGTCTCAGAATGGATGTGGGTAGTAGATTCCTAACTCCTGGAGAAACCAGAGCTCTAGGAATTGTAGGCTGCTTTATGTTAGAAAAGAAAAAGATGGTGTTCTGTCCTCCTGTCCCTTACATCTGCGCCTACTGCTACTAAACCTGGAAGCTGAGAAGGGTATAATGGTGACTCCTGATTTCACGGCATGAAATCAGACTATTTCTTTATTTTGCGACGGTTGTGTTTGGTGGTGAAGCCAAGATTCACACTTCAGTCTCCTTACTGCAAGTTCTCACTCTCACGGGAAACTTAACAATAATGACTTAATATGCTACACTTTTTTGGGAAGAGTTACCAGATAAAGTTCAAGATCCCAGTGAGTGGTGAATAATACAGATAAAGGACAAAGGGGTTTTCTGTAAAAGCATACTCTAAATATCATATGAATCACAGCTGCAATAAAAACTAATCTACTGTTTATCTTGAATTCAAATTCCACTTGGCATTCCCTATTCATATTTGCTATATCCGGCCACTCTTCTTCCATGCATTTTTAATTTTAAAAAACAGTACAACATCTCATTCTAGCAATTTACCTACAGAAATAAAGACAGGAACCACATTACTACTGAGACAAACACAGTCACTGCAAACATCAGAATACTGGAACATATTAATATATTAACTTTCACCCAAAAAAACCAGAAAGCATTTGCAGACATCAAAAATAGCTTCATTATCCTTTTGTTTGTATAATATATCTCTGGAAAGATGAAAAACAATCAGAACACTCGTTTGTTACAGGAAAGAAAATGTTGTGGACAGGAAAAAAGTGGGAGGAAGACTGGTCACTGCCTATACCACTGTGCACAATTTGAATTTGGAACCATGCAAAAGAATTGCTTGATTAAATTAAAATCATTTAAAAGATAAAAAATAAACATTTAATACCAGCACAATATGCTGGGAAACAAAATGAAAGGCTTTCTGGCCGCATTGCCACTCTTTCCCAGACTGAGGCTTGCTAGTAAAGGGTTTCTGCCTGAACCAGGCAGAGGATCCATACATGGATCATCTGACAAACACAAGGGTTCTTAGGAAGTGTTCTAAATTGTGTTTAGGACGTATAGCCCCTAAACGTTGAGATTCATCAAGAGTGGGAAAGAGCCCAAGTGGGAAGGAGCATGGGTTGAGAAACACAAAAGTAGGTCTGTTGACAAAAAATGGAAGTAAAGGGGACATCAGGTTGAAACTTTGTGCTGTGAGCCAGAGGGACAACTTAAAAGTTGCCTAAAGAGGCGCACACAGTCTGTGCTGCTGCCCTCCGGCTGGAAGGGAACCGCAGTTCTTCCCTACTGGCTGGAGCCCTTCACAGAGTGTCCCCCACCCCCACCACTAACTGCTGCACTGCCCCTCCCCCTCTGCAGAATGTCTGGGGTCCTATGTTCTAAACCTATTTACTTTCAAATTCTGACTGATCAACCTGAACTCAGGAGAATCTGTTGAGGCAGGTCACTCTCTGAGTCCTGCTCTTGATTTTTCTCATTGTGGAAACCGTCAGATATCGGTGAACAGCACCCAGCCTGAGGAAATGGCTTCAGATGAAGGTAAGTATGTAGGGACAAGGGCATCATCCAAGTCTCTGCCATGTTTCAAATCCTTGGGAATTCAAGTTTTACACAGCCCCAGGGGACAGTTGGTAGGGCTGGTGTCGAGGAGGGAGGGAGATCTGGATGTCCCCAAAGACACCACACCTGGGGAGGGCCGTGCCACCCTGAGTCTGCGGTTAGGGAGGATGGCAACTTGAAGGTGGACCAAGATGCCTGGGGGAATACACCACATAGGGGAAAGGATGGAGTGGACGTATTGATTCTTTCCAGAGGGCGACAGGTCACGTCACCATGTGTTTGTAGAGAGTGGTGGGATCGTGCTGTGCTGGTGGCCCAGGGAGGATGACAAGCAAGCCTGTGAGCCCTGTGTTGTGTCTTCAGGAACCTTGAACGTGCCCTTCCATAGTGTTCAGGGGGATTTGGACTGGAGTTTTCTGGATCTTAGGGAGGAGTGGGGAGAAGTGGTCTCAGCCAGAAAACCGTTGGGTGTGTTGGCTGTGACAGAGCACGCACTGACAGCCTCCGGGTGGGTGAGGCTGGGGCTACTGTAACTGCCGAAGCCTCTCAGCTCCCTCCCCAGAGGTGGCTTCTCTGTCAGTTCAGGTAGCTGTTGGCTTTAACAGGAATGGAGGGCAGTTGGGGAAGTTCAGGCAACACGGTCTGGGCTTCCCAGGTTGTTCTGAATTGTTTGTCCTTTAGTGGAAACTCAGGTCTTCAGACCCACTTCCTCTTGCCTGCCAGCTCATGGCCTGTCCTCTGCACTTTGTGTTACTGTAGAGAGGAAGAATTTACTTCTATTCCATGTCTACTACCTCACGAACACGGGACAGGTGTGGACTCTTGCTGGTCCTCGGTGGAAGGGTCTGGAAAGACTGGTTTCCTTTTCAGTGGAGAAAGGAGAGTAGTGCACAAATAGGAAGAGGGTCCTCTTATTATTATTACTGTTCAATTAGGATGTGTGTCCTGACTGATGAGGTGCATGTGCTGTATCCCTATCCCCCTTGACTGGAGACTGCATGAGGTCCTAGTGAACAGGGATGAGCTCCAGACAACTTTGCCACACCTGGCCTGTGGCCCAAGAACCTCTGGTTCTTGGTTGGTTACTATATTTAGTTACTGGGAGCTCAAAGGAAAAGGACCAGAGATGGGCTCGTTGTCCCATGACCTACTGTAACATGACCAGCAGTTGTGAAAATCCCTGGACACCTCCCCTGACAGCCCCACTGCTCACCGCTTGCTGGCTGTGCTCTAATCGTGTGCCGCTGTTGCTGGCTACCAAATGACAGTATCTCAGGCAACTCCACCACTGCTTCTCAGACCTGCTCCCTGGGAACAGAGCTTCCTGAGTGGCGGCCAGGACCACCGAGCACTGAGGAAAGTATAGTCTGACTCTGACCCATGTTTGGCACTTGCTGGGCCTGGTGCCAGCACAATCACTTGCACACTGGGTGTGATGCGTATGGATTATCTTCAGGGTTCACAGGGTGCTGGCTTGGGAGAGATTTCCGTCCACTGGTTTTCTTTCACTGTTTCTTTTTTAAGATGGAGTCTTCCTCTGTCACCACGCTAGAACTCAGTGGTGCAATCTTGGCTAACTGCCAGGCCCTCTAGTGAAGCGACCCTCCTGTGGAGGAGGAACAGAGCATGCGATGCACACTCAGGGACACTTGCAAGCTGCAGAGTTTCCCTGTCACACGCCCTCAGCTGTAGGACACCCCTCTGATTCCCCAGTGACTAGGGCGGACCTGGAGACCCCAGCTCATTCACCTCTTACCTTGTGTCTCCACAGCATGCCCAGTGCTGGAACCGGCTGTGACAGAGAACCCTGGTGCCTCCCTGCCAGTGTTCACGCCTCTGTCCTTCGCCACACCTGCTCCCAGCCCAGCACACGGGCCGCCCCTCATGACTACAGTGGTTCCTCCAGGCGGCCCTCCAGTGCTGTCTGCCTTCCCCAGGACCCCTCCCGTGGCAGGACAGGATGGCCGCGGCCCACATTGGACTGGGGCTTCAAACATCTTTGGCCAGATGACAGAAATGGGGCCTGTGAAGGCCCCTCAGGCACAGACCTCGGTCCAAACTCAGGCCCCCCTCATCTGGCAGGCTCCAGGTGCCGTCTGTGAGGGCGTCGCATGTCCACCTGCCCGACCCCTGGCAGCTGCCCCTGTGGTGCCCGCT